TGTTCTCATTATAGAACTGATTTGCATATCGTGAGGTACTTAAGCATAAGGTGACAGGGAGAGGTAAGTGTGAGCATAGATCATCACCACAAATGAAATAAAATCCTATTGATAGTGAAAAATAGATTATGTTGCATTTGGTTCATTTGATTCTTAATGCAACTATGAAGCAGTTTTTTCACATTCAGCTCTCTTAAACTGGTAGGATTTGTACCACTTAGTTCCTGCTATATTCGACCCGAGCCAGCTCATACATTTATGTCTTATTCACATCCCACATACACTCACAACTCAAATGTCATCTTATTCTGTCCTAAATGTCAGTGTAAATGAAAGTCCTCCCAAATGTGGGGCTTTGAGAAAAAAGAGACTGTCACTTGGCTGCCGTGTGTGACCCACGCTGGTATCACATTCTTACATTTGCAGCCATAATCTTCATGCTCTGCACCCGCTGTGCAGACATCTTGTGTATGCAGTCACTGTACACCCACAAGGATATCTTTGCCATCGTTCAAGGTAGAGCCATGAAACAAATACTAGAATTGTCAGAGGAGCTCAGCGACGGAAATTATTTCATGACCTTGAAGCAGAAGGTGGGACCAATCCAGAACTATTTGTGTGAATAAACAAATGCAATAGTCTGATTTAAAGAGCTGTTACAAAAGTGCATTGTAAAATTTGAAAAATGTGGTCTACCAAGGAAGTTCAGTAGTCATTCATTTGTTATGGTACTCCATTTAATCATTTGTACAGTGAAAGGTTGTTCATAAAGTAAACAGCAGTGTGAAAACACCACCTGCTCCTCTGGTGTTTCAGTCAGATGGCATACCATCAATAATGTCAACATAATTCATATTACAAGATTAGAAAAAAAATCTCAGCTTACAAATGTTGCAGCAAATTATGTCCCAGGTTCTCACAGGATGTCATCCATTTATCTTTTTAGGAGCACATAAAAATGTAACCAATACCCACTTTCTTAAAATAGATTTGCAAAAGATGCCTCTTGAACTGAGGCATTGGTAACGACAAGAAAGTCTGCTGGATCTGCACCACTCATTTAAAGCTCAATGGTTTCACTGTCATCAGATAAGAGCAGCCCTAATCCGAGTGGGTCATGACAGTCACTGCTGCAGTGGATTTATCTGTAGATAAAACACCTCTAATTGACAGGATTGTGACTGTATGCCTCCAAGTTGTTCCAGTGCAACATTTGTCTGTTTCTTAACGTAAGACAGTGAGACAAAACTGATCCTGGTGATACCACTTGGTGCTTTCTGCTGCTCGTGAATCAAGTCATCAAACTTTAACAGCATAAACACAATACAAACAATTGGGTCACCATTAGACAAGAACACCTTCTTCTCTTCGTAGAGTGGGGTAGTGCAAGGAATTATTATCACTAATTACCTTACAGTTAATGTTCCTTGACTTGAAACAAGCTGACCCACTTCGGGAAGCTTGTTTGCTGTCTTACCAGAAAGGTTGGATGCAGTCAGTGAACAGGCAGAGTAGGTTGAATGTGTTAGCTTGGTGCAGGTGTGGAGAGGCAGCTGTCCTTTGCAAAAAAGAGTATGAATGTGTCTTCTGGTAAAACAAAATTCTAACATTAACTACTGGTAGGCCTACATTAAGAAGTCAGCTGTGTTTTGTGGACAGCACCTCGGTGCTAGCTATTGATGAAATACAGTCCAAACTGTTGGCTGGCTGCTTGGTAAATCACAACATCTTGTATTCCATTTCTACATGTGTTGAATACTGTGAGTTGTGGGTTTGACATTTGGTCAGGAGAGTTGTCCCCAGACGATGTACCCTAATGACTTTGGCGATCCCCTGACTGCATATCTTGTCCTACCATGACATTGACATCTGTGGTTTTGAGTGAAATGTCTCAACAGCTGTTGAACTGATTGCCATAAAAATGTCTGTATTTTACATGTGTTAAGAAACAGAACATGCGAAATGTGGAGTATTGTGGATTTGCTTAAAGGTACCTTACAGAACTTGTCTCCGTAACAGGAAGCATATGCAGATTAAGCAAACAGAGCAGATTAATTTAACTAATGTATTCTGTTGAGTATGTCTGCTGTTGAGTATTTAGTAAAAGACATTATTATTATTATTCAATCAATGACAAATATGGGTAATTGTCTACACTTTTCAAGAAACTTGCCAACACTGGTCAGGAGAGTTGTCCCATATCAGTCATTGGCTTTTCTGATGCAGCACCTCCTATAAATAACACCAAAAGGGTAATATAACATTCCTGGACATTCCTGGGCATGGAAATACTAGTGGAACAAAATTTTGGGGGGATAACCGGTAAATTAAAATAAGAACTACATGAGCTGATACCACTAGAGGTAAGTAAGAAGATACATTTTTGTAATTTGTAGGACATGGCCGCTTAATTCATAATTGCACTGAGGTGACGTATGTTCGTGTGTGTGGGTGGGCGGGTCAGATTGGCTCAGATGTTGGAGTGTTAGGTGTGCGCTGGACTTGGCCTCCACCAGCCATCATGACATGCTCAACCCCTGCCCTTAGGGTCGCAGGCCAGACTTCTCCTTTCCTGCGATGAGCTATTAACTGACCTCAGGGGCAGTCAGTCAGGCTAGGAGAGTGTGTTTCTCTTTGTGTGTTTCTGTGAGTGAGTGTGTGTGTGTGTGT